AATTCTTGTGATCCCTGTTCGAATTATCCTCAACAGAAGGAGAACAATGGGAGGATGGGTGGAAGGGCCACACTGGAAGTCCATCCCTTCTGACTGTTCCAGTTTGGTAGGGACAGTCCCAATTCATTCCCTGTTGTCCACTTTTTCAGCTGCTTTTAAACTCTTCCACTTTTTCTCTCCTCCTCCTACTTCCCCCCTTTGTCCTCAGCTTATTTCAACTGCTGCAAACTGAGTTCAAAGTACAAACGTAGTTTGCACTCAATGAACTCAGGCAGGGAGGAGAGGAGCCAGTGGGATCTTGCCCTTCCCAGTAGGTTTGGGCAAAAGCAAACTGCTGCTTCCAGCTTGTATATTCTTCTTCATTAATAACTTTTGCCATTTTGCCCACACTCTGATGTTGCTTGGCCACACACATTCTGGTTTTCACCTATGGCATTTTGGGGGATATGGACGTCTGTTTCTAGGGCTGGCTCTACCATTAGGCAGAAAGCCATCACCGGTGGCATTCCTCAGGCACCATGAAAGAGTAGCAAACATTTTGAAATGACAAATTAAATGCTATATTTTTAGCAGGTGTAGAAGGGAAGAAAATTGTTTGGAGTTGAGTGAAACCTCTCATGCTGGCCTTGGGTGTTAAAACCATACGAATCTGAAACAAAGAGGAAGCAAGACAGGTAGTGACAAGGAGTCTTTGGTCTATGGGCTAAATTTGGTTCATTGGGCAAGACCATTCAGTCTGTGGGATGCACAGACATGGCTCCTCCATCTTTGAACGGGGAAGAGGAGGAAGAACTGCTTATCCAGAGACTTGAGGCTGCATTTTGCTCTTTTCTCACCTTCCTCTTTTCAGAGAAGGCAGGGGAGGAGGGAAACAGTTGAGCTTTTAGCCAGCACTCTTACTGGGGCCTGAAGCCAAGATGCAACCAGAGCCACAGTCTTTTTTGTCTTCCCTCCGATCTGCCCATTTCTTTCCCCATTCCTGTTCCAGAGCAGCCATTCTCAAAGAAGTGGTGCCTGGTCTGGTGACAGTCCTTGAGCCATTGTCCATAAAGAGTTTCCAGAAAAGAACGAAATAGGTGTACCAAAGGGCACAAATGTGATGCTAGCCCCTGGCACATTGCAGAAAAAGTAATATTACCAGCTTACCTCATCAGATAGCCTGATAGATAGATATTTTTCCCTAGGAGCAGCAGCAGACAAGACTCACACCCAGAGCTCAGGGAATGTTTTATTCTCAGAGGGGAAAAGGACAGCAAAGGTGTTAGTCAAGGGGCTGCTTGAGGACACAGTGCAAATGCTGAAAGGGTTTTAGACAATGGACAAATGAAAGGAATGATTTCAGTGTAGATTCAGTCAAGGGTTTGTTGCTAGTAAAGTCCAATTTTAAGCATTTGTCTTGCTCAGAATTCTGTAAGTATATTGGAGTCTAGCAAGGCATTTTAACAAAGATAAATTCATCAGAAAAATACAGATGAGTAGATAATAAAGTACAGTATATATAACAGAGTTGTAGATAAACTGCATGAAACAAAATGATATTTATATTAGTGTTTTTAGCTTTTATTTTGTAATGCCCTTCATTTTCCTTGAATGTTCTACATTTTGAATTGTCTTGTCCTCCTTTGTGGTTATCACATCTGGTCACCCTGGACACTGATCTGTCCAGCTGGAGGATCTGGTCTACCAAACAGCTACTGAGCTGCTGGAACTGAGCTGTAGCAGAGGCTTGTTGTAATTATTGCTCTTGAAATCATCCCTCAAGCACCACTCCTAATTTCCAGCAATAAATGTACAATAATAAATTCAATCACTTACCATTTGCTGCTCTTTCAAGGCATTCCAAACCAGCTGCCTAATGATAGGGTTGGCCATGCTGCTGCTCCTCTTCCTTCTCCTCCTTTTCAAAGGCAGTAACTTCTTTGGTGTTCAGAGAATGAACACTGCTAGGTCGTAATCCCACCTAAGGTATGTAAACACACCGGGTGACCTTGGGCAAGTCACACTCTCTCAGCCTCAGAGGATGGCAGTGGCAAACTTCCTCTAAAGAAATGTACCAAGAAAGCCTTAGGGTTGACATGAGTCGGAAATGACTTGAAGGCACACAACAACAACAACAAGGTCCTAATCCTCTCCTACTATGTGTGCATTTGTTTCTCCTGCAGAGACCTCACTGGTGCTTTCGACTGCTGCATCTTTAACTCTCTTTTTCTCCATCGTAGGATTTTGTGGTGACAGCTGTTTTCACCTTCATGTGGTTGGTGAGCTCCTGTGCTTGGGCCAAGGGGCTTTCAGATGTCAAGGAGGCCACTGACCCTGACAATGTGATTAAGAGTGTGGCCGCCTGTGAAGAAGCAAGCGTGAAGTGCAAGGAGATACGGGAGCCCATCACCTCTGGCCTCAACACCTCTGTGGTTAGTCCTCCAACATCTTATAATGGGTTATTACTGAGGCATACGTGTGGCTGTGCTAGGGTTGCCAGGTAAAATAAGGGACAGTGCTCTTATACCTTGAATGGGTGTGTAGAGGAGGGAATTCCAGCTTGCGACGTTTGTATTACAAGCAGTCCCTGCAGAAATTCCCTCTTCTACACAATGGTTAAATGGAGAGGAGCCCTGTCCTTTATGTCACTGGAAACTCTAGGCTGTATGTCTAAGTATTTGTACAGTTCAAGTGTATATTTGGTATGCGTGTGTATTTTGTACTTTTGAGCATTATAGATCAGGGGTTCCCAGCTCAGAGGGTTGAGACAGAATTTAAGGGATGAGACAAAGAGTGGCTTGCGTCCTTGAGTGACAAGTCACAAATCACCACTCAATTGTTTCTGAATATATTCGAATCTAATTGTTCAGTTTAGAACCTCATTTTATGCATTGAGTGAAAAGTTAATTTTTTTTTTAAGTTCAATTTGTTCACCCACACCATTGTAAGCGGTTCAATTTGTGGTTCAAAAATTAGAAATTAGACTTCGTCTTCAAATGTTGCATTACTTTTCTAGGGGGGTGCAAACGTTAATCAAACATTTCCTGGGGTGTGGGACATAGAAAAGTTTGGGACCCCCTGATATGTGTGCTTTTTCATGGGGTGAGTATTACTGTACACATCTGCTTTCTGCATTTTGGGTGTGTTACTTTTAATCCTGAATTTCTGAGAAATACAGATCAGACTTGTGTTTACTGTATTCACAGTGACTTCCTCCCTATGCATGCGGCTGCAGCATTAATTTGGCTTAATTGTTGAGTTAATCGTTTTAAATTTTTAATTGAATAAGCAATGGTGCCAGTTGTACTAGCGCAACAATTTTTCTATTAGGTGACTAAGATTTAAAAGAGTTATATTCGTTATTTTGTCAGAGTCAGAAGCTGTTTTTTGTTTTGATTGTGTTGCTATGGAATGGAATAAATAAGAATATCAGAACAAAAGCTTTTTCTTCTTCAAATGGTACATTTCTACCATTTTTTTTAAAAAAACCCTATTTTGTTATTAATTATTTAACTGTTGAGACAT